CTTACTGTTTTTATACTGTCTTTAAACTGTTTTTTTCTCTCTCTATCCACTTTCCTGCTGTAATATTGGAATTTGTGGGACTATTAAAGGAATATCTTATCTTACTTTCCAGTGCAGAGAATTCCGCTGCGCTGTGAACCTCTCACCACTAGGGGGCAGTGTGTAAAAAAAAAAAAACCACGCAGACTCCTCAGCGGGTCACACGGTTGTACTTCCTCTTCGGCGGTAAAGCGTGTAAAGCGAAGTACAAACGTTATTGTGACGCACAGATATAAAACATTATAACATTTATTTAACCCCAGACAGCTTATAAAGAGCAAGAAATGGTGAGTACGCCGCACTAATGTTTCGCTTTCAGCCCGCTCGATGTTTTGTGGGATTGTTTCCGTTCTCGTTTTGCTGCTTAGCATTAGCTCCGTTTTAGCTTCTCATTCATAACTTTGGCGTCAAGTGAATGAATGAATCCTGAACGTGTGTAGTGTTTATGCTGCAATACGGCGAGTTTGTTGCAGCTTTTCGTGTTCAAGTGGAATTATGCCGAGTTTGGAGCGATTAATGTGGACAAAAAAAAAAAAAAGTTACGCCAAACTCCATTCAAAAATCTGCTAATTTAACAAACGCATGCTTAAATACGTTGTTTCTCGTTTTGGGCTGCCTGGGCTTTACACTTTCTTATTGATTTACTGTTTGCTGCAAGCCGAACATCCTCTATGAGCAAAAGAGTGCCAAAAATGTATTTATAAGTGGGGGTTGTATTGTATTTTTAAGTTTTCTAATCTCCTTACGGCAGAAACACGTTAAGTTACATTGCAGACAAGCATCAAAACACATCTGCTCTTAATAAAAACTGTTGGATCCAACTGTTAAAATGCTTCGTGCCGAATTTATTATTGTATCACTGTATATCAGATAAGGTCACCAGATAAACATTTTCATTTCACATTTGTTGGTAAAATGCTAAGCCACGTTTATTTCATATTTTTTTAAATTAGATTTGGCATGGGCTTTGTTTTTTTTGTTTTTTTTAGAAAAGAACATGATTCTGTGGGACAACAACCGGATAATGTTGGCAAATGATGTCACAATATATATATATGTGTGTGTGCAGTTATCTAATGCAGTGTTACAGGTGTGTGTATGAACCTACCTCTTCCTTTTCTCCACAGAGTTTACCTCTGAACCCAAAGCCATTCCTGAACGGCCTGACGGGAAAGCCAGTGATGGTGAAACTGAAGTGGGGTATGGAGTACAAGGGCTACCTGGTGTCTGTGGATGGATACATGAACATGCAGGTAAGAGAGCAGTTTATAGTACTGCGTGCAGGGCGGGACATTAGCATCAGCCACCAGCCAAATCTCTGTGTCCGGTAGATTTCAGACACAAAAAAGTACATTTCCCGCCCTGATTGTATGCCGTGTTCCAATACTAATGTTAAATATGAACCCCGATATGTGTCATCTTTGCTTGCACGGAGACATCATCTCACTAAAGTCCTCTTGGGATATTGTGGCATTGTTGATCCATATTTTAATTCTGTTTTTTTACACATTTTTGCACAATTTTGGCTTGTTATTCCCTCCTTGATGACTTTTAATTGTCCACACTTTAAAAGGAAGTTTGTGCCCACTTCAGTCCGTCACAGGCTGACTCCACAAAGTTATCTGATACAGTTGTCTCCATGTGAATTGAGTCGTATCACAAAGAAAAGCACTTTTACACAAAGTTCAGCTGTTAATTTTACAGAATCAAACATAAATATTTAGACAACGTATAATTTGTTGGGTGGGAAAGATAAACCTCGAGTGTTTGTAGTCCAAAAGTTGGATCTTTTAAAAGAGACTTTTATGGACTGAGAGTGGACACGTGTAATTTTGTTTGTTCATCCTTTGTTCTGCGGTATAAGTTGTTTATTTAATTCATTTAATCTTTCTTGCTGAATGCAGTCTGCTCGTACACCCTCATGCGCAGCCTCTTGACCTTTTATATTCCCGTGTTTTCCTCACAGCTGGCCAACACAGAAGAGTATGTGGATGGAGCGTTGGCGGGGCATCTCGGTGAAGTGCTCATCAGGTACGTTGTAAAGCTAAAACATCGTCTCATAACCAGCTCAGCAGACTCTTCTCTTTTAAAATGAATACCTAATTTTTACTTTCATCAGTCCCTCTAGGAAGTTGCAATGTTGCAACAATTAACACAAATTCAACCAATCCCTGTAAATTCTGCCTTTGGAGACATTTTTATGCAGGAAACTACAATAATTGTTCAGTTTTCTACTTGAATAAGTTGCAAATATGTTTTAATTTTCACTTTCTCACAATTTAATTGCAAAAAATGACGAAAAACGTCAACATTTTTAGAAAAGTTGCGTCGTAATCACACATTTCAGGCTGCAACAATCCTAAAAAAAGCCAGTGAA